AACCACAGACAGCGTCAGAAGCGTCTTGCCTGGGCTAAAGAGAAACAGGACTGGACTGCTGGTGAGTGGTCCAAAGTCATGTTCTCTGATGAAAGTAAATTTTGCATTTCCTTTGGAAATCAAGGTCCCAGAGTCTGGAGGAAAAGAAGAGAGGCACTTCATCCACGTTGCTTGAAGTCCAGTGTAAAGTTTCCACAGTCAGTGATGGTTTGGGGTGCCATGTCATCTGCTGGTGTTGGTCCATTGTGTTTTCTGAGGTCCAGGGTCAACGCAGCCACATACCAGGAAGTTTTAGAGCACTTCATGCTTCCTGCAGCTGACCAACTTTTTGGAGATGCAGATTTCATTTTCCAACAGGACTTGGCACCTGCACACAGTGCCAAAGCTACCAGTACCTGGTTGAAGGACCATGGTATCCCTGTTCTTAATTGGCCAGCAAACTCTCCTGACCTTAACCCCATAGAAAATCTATGGGGTATTGTGAAGAAGAAGATGCAATACACCAGACCCAACAATTCAGAAGAGCTAAAAGCCACTATTAGAGCAACCTGGGCTATCATAACACCTGAGCAGTGCCACAGACTGATCGACTCCATGCCACGCCGCATTGCTGCAGTAATACAGGCCAAAGGAGGCCCAACTAAATACTGAGTGCTGTACATGCTCATACTTTTCATGTTCATACTTTTCAGTTGGCCAACATTTCTATAAATCCTTTGTTTTTATTGGTCTTCAGTAATATTCTAATTTTCTGATATGATGAATTTGAGATTTTCATTTGTTGTCATTTGTAATCATCAAAATTAAACAAAATAAACATCTGAAATATATGAGTTTGTATGTAATGTATGAATATAATATACAAGTTTCACTTTTTAAATGGAATTACTGAAATCAATCTACTTTTTCATGATATTCTAATTTTATGACCAGCACCTGTACATCCACTCCACATTCATCATATCGATGATCTCCTCCACATTTGGCACATCTTTGTTTCCCCTTACATACTGCTGCGATATGACCATACCTTTGACATTTAAAACAGCGCAAAGGGGGAGGGACATATGGTCTTACAGGAAAGCTCATAAATCCAATTTTAATTTTATCAGGAAGGACTTCTCCTTGAAACTCCAAAAGAACCGATAAGCTCTCTATTTTTTCTCCATTTACATGCTTTTGCAATCTTTTCAATCTCCGAACTTCTCCCCCCTGTATATTCTTTTTGAGTCTTTCTAAATCCTCCTCCAGCGGAATACCAGTGATAACACCACGTGACACTCTATTTTCTCCAACAATTAGTTTCTCACTAACAACTTTTTTGCAAATGTTATCAATCTGCATGCATTTATTCTTTTGATCTTCAGATTTGCATTTTATCAACATGTTTCCATCTCGTAATGTTTTAACAAATTCCACTTCCCCTAGTTTCTTTTTTATTTCTCTTGAGACTTGAATCGGGCTCAGGTTAACATTTATATCTTCATTCCTGAATTTAAGTATTATCTTAAACTCTTCGTTTGTTACTTTTTTCCTGACTGCTCTGTTTTCTTCATCTGAGCTGTACTCTTCCAAACTTCGTTTAGTGTTCTGGCTACCAATTACTCTATCCTCTCTCAGAACCTTCGCCTTCCCTCTACCTCTTCCTCATCAAAATCCATGTCATCCTCACCACCCCCATCTGACTTTGTTGCCATCCCGATCCAGTCACAAACCAGTTTATGTCAACCGCCTTCTCTCCGCTTCGTATCAACCGCTTGTCAAGGGACTGAGCTGTCGCTGTCACGTGACTATATAGGCACACCGGTGTCACCGGGGGTCACACGTGACTATGTTGGTATAAGATTCTCGACCTGTGCATGCGCAAGAGTGATCATTCGTGCTTTAAGCACCGCCTCTGGCGGTCAGTAGGGATGAAATAGAACCTTTATTATGAAGAGACATTGGGTACTCTGTTTAATACCATAATAAAGTCTCAACAGAACGAAGTGTGTGACTGATACACATTTTCATCATCAGTTAATTATATAAAAATACGTATTTTATTTCAATCTCCAATCTGAAAAAGTAGGATTTGATTTTAGAACCTAACTGAAACGGGGTGCATCAGGGACATAGCGCTTTAAAACATGTATTTTATTCAAAAGTATTACAAAAAATAAAAATAACGCAAATATAAGCAGTGTAGTTAGAGTTTGCAGAGGTGTTGCTACCTTCTTTAGCCTGCTGTTATGTTAGCAGCTAACTGCTTTAGCTAGGTAGGAATTAAATGCTAACAGAGTTCTACGCGCAGAAATGTAGAGTATTTTCACGGTACACGCAGCGTTTGGTCTGGATAACGACCGTTTCTACCGGTGACTTACACAGTGACGTGGCCGGAGCCTCGCACCACCACCGGGTCCGGAGCGTACTTGAGGAGCTGTTCCTCCGCGGCCCTGTCCTCGTCTTCTTCTTCCTCCTCCTCTTCGTAGATTTCATCAAAGTCCTCCATCATCGCTCCCCGGCAGCGACACCGGGAGAAACGCGGTTCCAACAGACAGAGAAGCTTTCTTTGAAAGCAAAGAAACGAGACAAAACTGACAGGGTGGGCATAAAAATACGAAGCAGTTCACATATCGCTGAGCGAGCTCCGACACAAAACATCAACATCCGCCGCTGGAGCTGCACGACACCGGAAGAGACATGGAGACGCACTTTCGTTCTTTTTTCTTTTCTTTTTTTTTTAACGTTGCGAATTTGCAATTCAAATGCTGGTAAGAGGATTAGTATGGAGGACCAACTCTGCCATATTTAAAATATAAATACAGAAATAAATAAATGCTCAAAAAATAAATAAGCATACCCAAAATACAATAAACAAATAAATGTAGTTAGAAATTAAATTATACAGTGAGATATAAATGTATAAATCTCTTTTAATTAGTTTATTTATTTATTCGCCTTTGTAATAATTACCTAATTTATTTATGTGCATGTGATAATATTTTTGTCTGTTTTATTCTTCCTTTGTATATATGTCGTCAATGCAATGTATTTCTGCCCGTCGTTTTTACATTTCTGTATGCATATTCGCACCGCCATCAGACAGCTCTAAATCATGTCACAAACTCTGCACCACACTGACCACATCAATATTTTTTTTTGCACCATTTTTTTTCTCCCACAATGTTTACATTTGATACTGCTGCACTTTTAGGAATGGAAATGTCATTAATGCTGTACAAAACGAAATATCATTTTGTATAAACTATACAAAATGACAATAAAAAGAGTCTAACTCTAAGCTAAAAAGTTTTAAACTGTTGGAATATTGTTCTAAAAAATGCTGATTTCTGCTTTGTTTGTTGGGCATTTGGCAAAAGTCTCAGTGAATTATGATTAGTGAATGATGCAGTCAGTAATTCGTTATAATTGGTCATTACTGTAGTTAGTAATTTCACTGCTGAGTTCAGCATCCCCCCTCCTAAATGACCATCCCCTCATACCAACCCCTGTAACATTTTATTACTGAATCTGTAAAACTTCTACTATATATCAACAGTAATGACAATAATATTGCCCTTTCAACAATCTGCAACAGTTTATTCCCCACTGCCATCAAAAACTCTAAATCATGTTATGATTACACCAACACCAGATAACACCAAACCAAAAATACTGCATATTTGCACCGTATATATTAATGCTCTGAACTTCCATATCTGTGTCCATTGCTTTTTTCTCCAAATGTTCAGTGGTGTCAAAAGTACACACGTGACGTGTTACTTAATAGGAGTATAGATACTGCAGTTTAAAATCACTCTGCTAAAAGTTGAAGTATCAACTTGACCTCTTCACTCAAGTAAAAGTGAAAAAGTATGTGCTCCATAAACTACTTAAAGTATAAAAGAATAAAGTAACCTTAAAAAAACAGAGTGTTTTTAAACTGCAGTATCTATACTTCTACTTAAGTAATAAATGTGCGTACTTTTGACACCACTGATCCTTACCACCTTCTACAGAAGCACCATAGAGAGTGTTCTGAGCAGCTGTCTCAATGTGTGGTGTGGAGGCTGCAGCGTCTCAGACTGGAAGAAGGTGAGAAGAGTAGTGAGAACAGCAGAGAAGATCATCGGGGCTCCTCTTCCCTCCATAAAAGACATTTCATCTCAGCGCTGCGTGTCCTGAGCCCGTAACATCGTAAATGACCCCTCACACCCCCACCATGGACTGTCCTCCTTGCTGCCCTCTCCAAAGAGACTTTGAAGCATCCAATGCAGGTCCAGCAGGTTCCATAAAGGTTTCTTCCCCACTGCCATTAGACTACTGAATGATGTGTAAAATTGGTTATTGTACACACACACACACATATATATATATATATATATATATATTTTTTTTTTATGTTAGAACTGTAAATATACAGTCATACGTTTATATTACTATTTCTAATGTATTTATTACTGTTTTCAAGGCTGTACTTTAAAAAATGAAATTGTCTAGAGTTGTTTTAAACGAAATTTATTTTTTTTACACTTATGTATACAAAATGACAAAATAAATCTGTCTAATCTAATCTAAAGTATAGATACCTAAAAAGTGTACTTAAGTACAGTAACAAAGTATTTGTACTTCGATACTTGAAACCTCTGCCAATGTTTACATTTGATCACTGTAGAACTTTAAGAAATGGAAATGTCATAAGAGCAAAACAATATTCCGTTTTGTTAACACTCTATGTATAGAAAATGACAATAAAAGTTATCTAAGTCTATGTTACTAACAAAGTCTACATTTGTAGTAGCTCTCTTGTTTGCATTTTGTTTACAATTTCGTTTTTACATAACATTTATAAGAGAGGATTTTAGTCATTACTGTAACACTGTGAAGGATGTGCCACCTGGCTGTTTTGAAATGATTGCTGAATTTCCCGCAAAAAAGCGTTGGCGGCGGGGGGGGCGGGTCCCGTTATGTCCCCAGATCTTTGTCCAATAAGCCCGCTGCTCCTCTTTTATTGGTTGTCATTAGAACATTGCTCTCTGCTTTGGCCCCAACTGATGAGAGCGTTATTCAGCTCACACCAAATTATACTTCCTTACACATTACTTAATTTAACCAGGAATTAAGTTGATATCTTTTTTGTTTTTTGTATTTCAAATCAGAAGAACTGGGCGGAGCTTTTGGCGCGAGGACGCTTGTTTTTCTTTTTGTTGTGTGTTTTTTTTATTTTTTTAAGTGAACCATGCTAGCGTTGCTAGCTAATTAGCCTTCGTGTCGTTGCCTGCTCTGTCGCCCGGGACATTAATGCCATCAGCCAGGGTGGGTTACGTTTTATTTCGTGTTATATTTTACAAAGGTCCACCTGTCTTTTTTGTTTGTTTACCTAGTTGTAATTTGGCTTTAGAATTCCAAGCTTTGCTATCTCGGTTAGCCATGATGTTAGCTTTGCTAGGTTCGAAGCTAACGTATTGGTGATGGCTGGGATGCTGTTTTTGCTAAGCTAGCTAGCAGTAAATCTCACTACACGTTCTGAAGTGATTCATGTCCGAACATGAGCTTTTGTTTTCTTCCCAGAACTCAGGTCACATCATGAGCGGGACGAGCTGCAAAGCTAACAGCGCCGTGTACCCCGCTTCATCCGCGATGATGAACTCGGTGAAGAAGCCGAAGATGGAGCAGATCCAGGCCGACCATGAGCTCTTCTTACAGGCCTTTGAAAGTGAGATTCCGCCCTTCACTGTCAACCGATTAGATTCTATGGTTTCCCTTCATTCAAACCCGATTTTACTCTCAATGTTTTTATTTTTCCTTCTGTTTTTCTGTCAGGCATCCGGTCCAACAGCTCCTGTAGTGCTGTTGATGTTTTTAGCACAAAATGTAATTCTAAACTTTGTTGAAAACGCATTTATTTTTATTGTTGGGCCAAATCGGATGTTTTTTCCCCGCTTCGTTCAAAAACTGGAATTAAATAAACCATATCTTAAAGACATGTTGGAAAATGTGCAGTTAACCTATTTGTAAACAACTGATGGGGTAGAAACTTTACTATAGTTGTCCATCCAGATGCCAAATTAAAAAGCTATGATCGTATAATTGTTCCAGTGTTGTCAAGCACAGTACCCTAAAAATTGTCTGATTAATAGCTTAATTTACTCAATATTTTAAAAGGAAAATTCATTAAAAAAAAAAATGGAGGAAGCAATAAGAACATATTTAGTCACATATGGTGGTCTGTAGGGTTGGGAATTGACAAGATTCAGATTACCTTGTTGATTCTGTGAAATGATTCGGTTCTCTTATCGATTCTGTGAAACAATGAACTTGGTAAGTGCACAGTGACATTCGTCTACCTTCGCCTTGGACATTCTGTTTCTGCCTGCCTCGGCGAAAACAGAAGTCAGTGAACAGGAGCTGCCAGCCTCTGAGCAGCCAAGCTACCCGTCTCGTCACAGTCATCTAAAGCTAATGGAGAATGTATCCGTTTAATAAAATAGCATTACTGTACAATTTCGGGAAATAAACTCATCTCCCCCTGATTTAAATTAACAACTGTTACCTTTCTCTCGCTCCCTGAACTGTGGAGCAACTTGAGAGGTAGGAAATTGGTTTATTTCCAGAAATGGCATATGATTTATTAGGAACCACATTAAGCACAGCCAGTGATATAAAACTAGCTACTTACCAGAGTTGCCTTCCATGCTGGTCGTAACTTTAGTTTCTGTTCGGAAGCATCAAAAACACGGAATTTAAAACGTTTTAAAGTTAATATGTATGCCATGTTGTGTGCGCAGGTGTTTCTGCATGTTGGATATATTTCCTCCGCGGATGTAATTGACACTTTGGAATGATTGCAAAGCGCCTTGTTGCCATCTTTCGCTTCCTTAAAATGAAGCCAAACTTTCGATCGCTTTACCTGATTGGATTTTATTTTGTTTTGCTTTTCAAGAATTATGCCTGGTCACGTCGTACTTGCTTACTGAATACTGTATGCGTAACTTGCGTGAAAACCGTGATACAGGTCATGCTGCCCAGAGCTAGGATCTGGTGCTTCCTGGAACCACTAAGAGAATCATTAAGCGAGCTGCCAAACTCTGCAAAGTTCTGAACTGGAACCGGTTTTCGATTCCCATCCCTAGTCGTCTGAAAAAGCTATTCAGTCATAGTTGTGTGTAATAAGTGAGGATGTATTTTTCCAATTGGAGCTGGACAAAATCTTGCAGTAGTGATAATAGATGCAGAAATTGCAATAGTGATAATCGGGTATGATCTGTGCGCGATTTCTACATTTCTCCAATTTTTATTGTGTTTTATACTGTTTACCTCAGCATTTTGTATCCAGTGTCTTAAAAAAACTAGATTTAAAACTATGAGATTCCTGAATGACGGAGCCATGACAAATTGAGAATATGAAAGGATGGACATGTTTTGATTTTAATTTCAGTAGAATTTCATGGTTACAGTATGCTGCTAAACGGAGACAGATTGATCAGGAACATGTACCTCTTAGAGGCTAAAGGTTGGAAACTAACCTTTACTGTTTTTTTTTATGGAATATGTACCCCAGGAAAGAAATTCTCAACAGTTTGATGGGTTTTTAGGTGTAGAGTGTTTTCCTACTCTCCAACAGACAACTTGTTGTCTCTACAATAATGTTCAAATTTGCATAATTTGTCACAGAACATCTCTAACATGACGGAGGCTGCATGGATGGAACAAAAGTGAACTTAATTTTTTACTGCATCTCTAGTCAGTGGGCTGAATTATTGTCTTTGCAGACCAGTCTAGTGCAAAGACAGTTCAGATTGTTAGGATAGATGTTGAAGTTTAGATCTTCTCTGATACATTTAACATGACATAATATTTTAAACGTTCGATCTTTAAAGTAAACAAAATCTATTATGGGAAGGAGGATACATTTCTATTTTTATCTTCTTACTCGCCCTCCATGTGTCTTTTATAAAAGAGAACACTTCCAGAGTCATCACCTCTGAGTTAAATTTGTGGCCACTCTTACTGTCAGCGTTATGGATGCCTGAGCTCAAAGAAAATCTAGATTTGTTGAGCCTTCTTTGTGTTATAGAGCACATGTGACCGATGTAAACACAACATCACCTACTGGGTTTAGAGATAAATATCTCAAATACATACAGTCAGATCTACAGCACATGATGTGCTATGATGTCCTGAATCAGCCCCAAGCTGATTTCAGGTACGCTGCATTTCAATGTTTCTACTTTTACTTCTAGGTACCCCAGCTAACTCCTAAGAAACATTATTAATTCAATTCAGTTTATTTATATAACGCAAATTCACAACACATTTCATCTCAAGGCACTTTATAAGTCAACCAGATAATATAGTCAATTTGATTAAAAGTTTTCTAAGGAAAAACAGTTGGTTGCATTAACTCAAAGGCATTTCCTCACACCAAACATGCTTATAGCGACAGTGGAGAGGAAAAACTCCCTTTTAACAGGAAAAAACCTCCAGCAGAACCAGACTCGGTGTGAGCGGCCATCTGCAGAGGCCGACTGGGGTTCAAGGAGACAGAAGCAGACATAGAAACAGGGATACAAACGGCAACTGTCAACCAGCTCCACATGCGGCCCCGTCCATGAAAAGATACAGCCAGGCAGGTGAGCTCTGTACCAGCTCCTAAGTCAGAGGATGAGGAGAGCACATTCAGCCAGTCAGTCAGTCAGTCAAAGAAACAGGACTACACTAAAAAATAGACAGAGCTCAAAAACATATTTACAAAGGTGTTGATGGGTTACGTTTCTAAAGATGTCATACCTGCTATAGTGGGTATGCATAGTGTTGAGGATGAAACCCATACAGCTGGGGGCATCAGAACATAACAAGACTTTGCAGATTATATGTTTATTATTTATATTGTTTAAGTCCACTGTCACTAAAATCCTCTAAATACCCCTTATAAAGTCAGTTCAAATGTAAAGCTGCCCACACAAAAGAGAAGGAAATCAACTAGTTTTGGTGCAGTTTTTTGGGGGGGGGCCTTTTTTGTGTTATAATCAAAGTATTGCAGGTAATTCCACGTAGAAAACCATTAAGACTCCAAGCTTCTCTATGTTAGTAACATTTTTTTAATGTGTGTTATTAGTTACACAAGGTGACAAATTTAGCAGAGCAGCCAGATTAAAACATATTCCAATCATCATTTGTCTTATCCTTTCTAGAACCTACTCAGATATACAGATTCCTGCGTACAAGGAACATCATTGCAGTAAGTAAACAGAAGTCCTTTTTATTTCACACCTTTACCCTTACTGACCTGGTTATTTAAACTTACTCGGTCTTCTTCTTTTCCTCTTTTTTTTTTAGCCCATATTTTTGCACAGGACCCTCACATTCATGTCTCACCGAAATAATCGCACAAATGCCAGAAGGTATGCAACCTGCATCATCTTCACATTTAGTCAGCAGACGTTGTTTGGAAATGTTTAAAAGTAAATAATTTCAACTGTTGACTTGCAGGAAAACATTCAAAGTGGATGATATGTTAAAGACGGCAGAGAAAATGAAGACAGAGCAGGATTCTCCAAGGTAAAAAAAGAGACCTACGATTCACTTTAAATCATTTTAAGAGACGTTTAAAAAAATAACGTCAGTCTTTTATACATTTTAATGTTTTTTTTTTTGTTTTGTTTTTTTTAGCTTGTCTTCACATCTACAGTTAACGTTCACCGGGTTCTTCCATAAGGATGGTAAGCAGGCGTTTGGTAGTCTTTTATTTTCTTGGTTAGAAAATATACAGTAGGTTTGGGTGAGGATTTGTTGGAGATATGAAAACACAGCAAAAAGTTTTAGTTTCTCATAGTGTTGCTCCGATTCCGATACCAGTATTGGATGGGGCCCCGATCCAGCACTAAAATGTTGGTATCGATATTGGCAAGTACCGACTAATATGGCCATTTTTAGAGCCAAAAGTTTATTCAACTATTGTCACCCAGTCCAGGTGTGCAATAAAAATTTGTACTGGATTCACTTTTTAATAGTCTTTTTCCTGCTTCACAAAGGTAGGCAGCAGCTTGACAAATCCATGATGGCCATTATTTTACATCCAAGTATGCAGTTCTTCATATATATACACACATCAATTTCAAACAGATGGTATCGTTATCAGCCGATACTGCACAGCCGGGTATCGGGGCCAAAATATGGCATCAGTGCAACACTAGCTTCTGATTAAAGGAAGTTGGAGGAAAAGAACACCACATGGCTGCAGCGATCTTTAATCTTTTGTATACATAAGTGTAAACAAAAATACATTTCGTTAAGAAATTAATTTAAAATATATATTTTATAATTGAATAGGTGTAATATTTACTGTAATAAATTGAAGAAGCTTGGACTGTATAAACAAACGGGTAGTTTTGTTCACCCTTCCTCAGCAAATTGTTTATGAGCTGACTCAGATGTTACCACTGGCATTTCTGTCTTGAAGTTTTCAGATATTTCAATAGATGCGAACTGATTAAGATCGGTCATTATAAAGTAATTGTTTTAGCCTGACTTTGTACACTTCTTTGGTGAACCTTTTCCTACTTTTGCACCTCCTGTTCTTTATCAGAGGTTATGTCACAAATTAATTTCCCCATTGTAAGACCAAGAAATTCCTACCTTATCTTATCCTAAAGGTTCATATAGGATTGGTACAATATTTTCTCTTGGCTGTCTTGCCTTAAGAGATCCTGGGACTTTTGACATTCAGAAGTTGAGCTTACTGAGTCTTCCTCATTCATGCTGCTTATATTTAAATGAGGAATGGAGCAATCTGACAGCTACAAATCTTCACCTGAGTTTGGAAGGCATTGTCTGGCTCTTTGTCTGCTGTTAGTCTGCCAGATCATCATAGGGTTTCCTTTCTTATGTCCCACCTCTAGGACTTAACCTTCAGCCCCTCAAAGCTTCATCTTTTTAATAACATTAGTAGCTTAGGCTTCTGGAAAATGGGCTCATAGTTATTACGTGGGTATCTATCTAATCTAAGCTCCTCAGGAAGTGCTTACCTTTGCCTCTGGTCCATTTTTATTTTGCTGCACTCACTGATGCCAAACTACACCACAGCATATCTAAAAATGGCTTAAATTAGTTTTTAGTAAAGGTTAACAGTTCATCCTTATAGCAAATGCTTTGCTTTTGTTTTATTATGTTATCATTTTACAGGGTTCCCGCAGATCCTTCAAAAGTCTCAAAAGGCATTGAATTCTTCAATATAAAACAAGGCCTTAATTGGTATTAAAATGTCTTAAATCAGTCTTTAATAGGTTTTGAAATTGTTAGCATATCATAAATACGATTTTATATTTGTAATCCATATTAAACAATAAAATAATTGACAGTATTTTTCTTACATTTACCCAACTGCTCGCTGTCACCATTGCTGGTTCCGTCCCGATAGCGGAACCAATAAAAAAAAGATGTTGCGGCCGGACCTTAGGATGATGTGACAGTAACTTTTTATTTGGACAACACGGGGAAGTCTTAAATTCAATGAAAAATTGGCTCTCCGTCCAGGAGTTGTCTGCATGGCTAAAACCACTACCAAGGAATGTAGATGATGATGTGTATGATGGGAATCAAGGCAGTGGAGACACATGTGCAAAGCGAGAAACTCAAAGCTTCAAAATCAAGTTATGGAGAAGCAGCAGTATTTCTCCGTCCTGTTCCACCCTTGTCTCTGTAAAGCCTCCACAGTCACATCAACAACAGCACCAGTAGAACCAAATCTCAGGAAAATGTTTGGTGGTAACGCCACTAATGAAAGTAGGGGGATTGAGTAGGGAACAAAACAAAGTTGGTTAATTCAGTTCAGTAGTTGTTAAAAATATATCTGTTATTTGTTTGTTTTTAGCTTTCTTCCTATATGGAAAGTCTTTCAAAATTTGAAACACATCTACTGGGCTAGAAATTAATGCTTTATGTTAAAATAAACATTTGGGGTAAATCTGTCGCTACCAGGATTTTGTCGTGTTTATTGTAAAGTTGGTCTTAAATTTTTATTTTTAGTGTCATTAAAAAGTCTTGAATTTAACTTTCCTTATGCTGTAGTAACTGTTTTAAAGCTTTGTGTGATTAGACCTGTTTATTTGAACGATTTTTTAAGAAGCGAGACATTGTTTTAGTTGGTGTTACAAACGCTACGAATGGATGTCTTCCTACCGTGAATGTATTTAGCGAATTGAAGGGTTAATATCAATGCTTTTATTTTTGTCCTTCTACAGAAAAGCCATCTCAGAACTCAGAAAATGAGCAACATTCTGTGTCTCTAGAGGTGCTACTTGTCAAAGTCTGCCATAAAAAACGAAAGGTACAGTGTACTGCCTCGTTACTGAAGCTGCTTATTCCGCTATGTTGTCCTTGCTGATGGTTTTCATGGTTCTCTGCTCATTCAGGATGTCAGCTGCCCTATAAAACAAGTGCCTACCGGTAAAAAGCAGGTGCCTTTGAATCCTGACTCTAAGCAGACCAAGCTGGGCTCCTGCCCCTCTTTACTGGTCCCCAGCAATGAGTTTGAGCCCAGCAACAGTCACATGGTGAAGTCCTACTCGCTCCTCTTCAGGGTGTCACGCACTGGGAGAAGCGGCCTGGTCAACGGGGAGGTCAATGAGAACATAGGTGTGTCAATTTTTGATGCATAAAATTTTATGTATTATATTTTTTTATTCACACAATTTTAATCCCCCCTTAAACCCACCCCAGATGTAACAGAAACTCCTAGTAGAAAAAAAAGAAGTTCAGCCCACAGAGAGGAGGCAGGGACCACAGAGACCTACATCGCACAGATGACAGTTTTTGATAAAAATCGGTAAGTAGTTTTGGCCCAATTTCTCCTGTTTGTTCCCCTTTGGGTGCATGTTTAAATTCTCAGAGTTGTGGTTCTGCTACAGGAGGCTGCAGCTGCTGGATGGCGAGTACGAAGTGTCAATGCAAGGGTTGGATGAAAGTCCTGTGAGCAAAAAACGAGCCACATGGGAAACGATCCTTGATGGCAAGGTAGGTGACCTGAGTGGGTCTTCATTTCTTCTTGCCTCCTAGCTTATGACCTCTTACACCTTTTAGCATTTTCCAGTTGCTTTGTCATCAGCTGTAGGTGCATAGTACTGGTTTAGACATAAACCTGTGCATGTACCCAGAATATGAAGTTGGCTCTGTATGTTTTTGGTTCAGATATTTGCTTCACTGTTATAACATCAATATATATCAAATGTTTTAAGCATCTTTACTCACAAACCTGGCATAAGCCAGGGTTCAATTCTATTCGGTTCAGTTTATTTATATAGCGCCAATTCACAACACCTGTCAACTTAAGGCACTTTACAGTTCAACCAGATCATACAGTGTAATTGGTTCAAAGTTTTCTATCTAAGGAAAACCAGTTGATTGCATCGACTCATTGACTCCAATGCAATCCCTGACACTAAGCATGCTTGTAGCGACGGTGGAGAGGAAAAACTCCCTTTTAACAGGAAGAAACCTCCAGCAGAACCAGGCTCAGTGTGAGCGGCCATCTGCAGAGGCCGACTGGGGTTCAAGGAGACAGAAGCAGATATTCAAAAAGCAGCTGTAAAAGGCGGCCCAGTCTGGAAAACACACAGCCAGACAGACAAGCTCCGAGCCAGCTCCCATGTCAGAGGATGAAGAGCATATCCAGCAAATCAAAGTCAAAGAAACAGGACTACATTGGAAAAAACAGGCAGATCTCTAACATCTATAAACAAGGGTGTTGATGGCAGCAGACCCGCAAATATTTCTGTCCAGGATGGAGTCACAGCCAAACAGGAACAGACGAGGCAAAGCTACTATGAGAAAAAGCAGAGAGTTAGTTATTGAACTCATAGATTCTGCCGAGTGAGAGAATAGAGATAGAATGATGAAATGGGGTCCCTATGTCCTCCAGAAGTCTAAGCCTATAGCAGCATAACTATAGAGATAGCTCAGGATAACCTGAGCCACTCTAACTATAAGCTTTATCAAAAAGGAAAGTTTTAAGCCTACCCTTAAAAGTAGACAGGGTGTCTGCCTCACGGACTAAAACTGGTAGTCGGTTCCACAGGAGAGGAGCCTGATAACTAAAAGATCTGCCTCCCATTCTACTTTTAGAAAGTCTAGGAACCAGCAGTAAACCTGCAGATTGAGAGCGAAGTGCTCTGTTAGGAACATAAGGAACAATCAGATCTCTGATATAAGATGGAGCTTGGCCATTTAAGGCTTTATATGCGAGAAGGAGGATTTTAAATTCTATTCTGGATTTAACAGGAAGCCAATGAAGAGAAGCCAGGATAGGAGAGATGTGATCTCTCTCTTTAATTTTCATCAGAACTCTGGCTGCAGCATTTTGGATCAGCTGAAGGCTTTTAACTACAGTTTGTGGACTTCCTGATAGTAAAGAATTACAATAGTCCAGCCTTATAGTAACAAATGCATGGACTAGTTTCTCAGCATCACCCCTGGACAGGAGATTTCTAATTTTTGCAATATTCCGCAGATGAAAGAAGGAAATTCTAGAAACCTCTTTGATATGGGATTTAGATGACAGGTCCTGATCAAAAATAACACCAAGATTTTTTACTTTATTATCTGAAATCAGTTTAATCCCATCCAAATGAAGTGACTGACTAATCAGCTTCTTTTTCAGAGACTCTGGTCCAAAGACTATAACTTCTGTTTTGTCTGCATTCAGAAGCAGAAAGTTAAGAGTCATCCAGGTTTTTATGTCTTCAAGACATGCCTTTAATCTATGTAATGGGTTAGCTTCATCTGGATTTATAGACAGATATAGCTGGGTATCATCAGCATAACAGTGGAAATTAATCCCATGCTGTCTAATAACTCTACCGATTGGGAGCATGTATATAGTGAAGAGAATTGGTCCTAGCACTGATCCCTGTGGTACTCCACAGGTAACCTTTGAGCGTGTTGAAGATCTATCATTAACATGAACAAACTAAATTCGATCAGATAGATAAGATTTAAACCAGTCTAGAGCTGTTCCTTTAATTCCAACAAAATATTCAAGTCTTTCTAAAAGAATATTATGATCAAATGCAGCACCGAGATCTAACAGGACAAGCACAGATACAAGTCTATGATCTGAGGCCATGATAATATCATTAGCAACCTTCACCAGAGCTGTTTCAGTGCTATGATGAGCCCTAAAGCCAGACTGAAACTCTTCAAAAAGTTCATTATGGTGTAAGTGATTACAAATTTTTTTGGCAACTACTTTCTCAAGAATTTTAGATAAGAAAGGAAGATACAGGGTGATACTCCAAGTTCAATTTAAATTCTACACAACATCCACCTGGAAAGACTTTGTAAAAGAGAGGGACGTTCAGTAAAATTCCTCGAAATGATCGGGTAAATCACCAAGTGGCACCTGCCTACCATGTCGAGCTTTTAGCCCATCTCAGCAGCTGTGACGTATCACATGTGCATATATTTACTTAACATTTGTAAGAGGCAAGTACTTCATTAACGATTGTCTTCCTGATATATTTTAGATGAAAGCATTTCTCTCCATTCAGAGTTGAACAGCCATGAATCCGGGTTCCTAAATAGTGAAAAGTGAAAGTGAAAGCCCTTTGGGAAACTCCTCCAACTCCCATTGTCATTGTGACACAGCACACACAAGTGAACACTGCACACCATGAAATTGCATTTATGCCTCACCCGTGCAAGGGGGCAGCCCTCAAAGGCGCCCCAAGGGAGCAGTGTGGCGGGACGGTACCATGCTCAGGGTACCTCAGTCATGGAGGAGGATGGGGGAGAGCGCTGGTTAATTGCTCCCCCCACCAACCTGGCGGGTCGGGAGTCGAACCGGTAACCTTTGGGATCCAAGTCTGACACCCTACTTTGTCGTCATTGTCGCCAAGTTCTGCAGCAGTAATGCCAAGCTTTTCAGCTTCAGCCACTTTATCGTGGAGTCTACAAGTATGTCCACCGGTGAAGCCTTGTTTGGTTTGTTTCAACTTGACATCATACACATGAGTGCAGTTTGAAAGGGATCTGCATCGGAGGCTCATGCATCTACCGGCTTCTGGCAGGATGTAGATTAGGGGACAAATCTTCATCTGCCTGCAATGTCATTTACTCACTGTTAGGCTCAGAAAAGATAAATTGTCATTTATTCCTGGTTCATGATTTTTGAAGAAAAAGCACCAAGGGATATGGGATGGCCATTCCAGAACAGTGTAATTGTTCCTCTGCATGAATGCCTGAGTGGATTTGGAGCGACGTTTTGGATCATTGTCTTGCTGAAATGTTCATCCCTGGCGTAACTTCAACTTCGTACCTGATTCTTGAACATTTTTCTCAAGAATCTGCTGATATTGAGTGGAATCCATGCGACCCTCAACTTTAAATCTCTGAGACAACTTTTTGTTTCCTTCCCCTGAAAGACTACGTTGAACTATCTTTGTTTTCAGATCATTGGAGAGTTGTTTTGAGGTGCTCATGATGAATCTTAAGAGGAGAATCAAACAGGAGAACAACTTTCATTTGGTCACTTTAAATACATTTTCTCATGATTGGATGCACCTGGCTATGAAGTTCAAATCATAATGAAGCTACCAAACCAATTTTGTGTTTCAGTAAGTCAGTGAAAAGTAGTTAAGTGTATTCAAATCAATAAAATGATTAGGGTACACACGTTTTTGCACCAGTCAAATTTTGTTTTAATGCATATTGCACATTTTCTGTTAGTCAAATAAACCTCAATTCAATACTAAAATATTACTGAGTCCATCAGTTATTAGATATATCAAACTGAAATAGCTGTTGCAAACACCCAAATATTTGGAAATAAAAATAATTAAGATTAATAGGATTCCCCAAACTTTTTTGAGGAACCCTATTTTTTGGACTGTATCTCATCGCATCCAATATTGGCTACATTATTGCATCTGATCAGTGTTCTGTGACAGCAGAAAGAAAGCAGCCGTGTGATCAAACTCTTACTCTGTATGTGCCCCACAGAGAATCCCACCATTTGAGACGTTTTCTCAGGGACCAACACTGCAGTTTACACTGCGTTGGACAGGTGATGCCAGTGCGAAGTCCACCGCCCCGGTAGCCAAGCCTCTTGCAACTCGCAACTCAGAAACCACCAGCCCAATGGAGACCCGGACCAGCCACCACCGCGCAGCCCTTATGAGTACGTATAGAACCATTTCAAGCTGTGGTCGCTTATAGAGTTGTACATGGGTATATTTAAATGTCAATAGTCCAGCCTTAAAGTTTTAGTTAGATCTTTGATTTGGTGTAAATGTCTTTACATACCTTGTTTCATACCTTTACATATAACAATAAGTCCAGTCTAAATGTCTTGAATGACACAACCTATGTCTATTAGATCTGAGACAACTGACCAAATGGTTCTAGTATATATGTGGCGTTATGTGTTTAGGTCTAAAATGGAGAGAAACTGTAGCCATTGAGTCCCTTTCAGAGATATTTGTGTTGAGTATATTTTTATAATTATTTATAAGTCATTCTTGGAAATCACACCAATTTTTCTTCTCTAAACTTTCCTGATTAAGTATATTCAGTTTATTGTCTTGCAGAAAATAAATTAGTTGGTCATTACATAATCCTATTTCTGTTGCTTCTCAGAGAAACATTCAACAGAGATCAACTCATGTAGCACACAACTAAAGTGTAAGCACTTTCTTTTTTGCTTCATATTCCGTCCTAAAGATCCCGTCCTAATGATATATATATATAAATATATACTAGGGATGCACTGAAAAAAAAATCAGGTTTTTTTCTGATGCTTTTAGTTAAGAGTTTAAAATTGTAAACAATGCTTCACACGTTACAAAGATATGAATTTAAAAGTTTATTAAAGGAATAGGTCAAAGGCAGTCATGAAAAGGAAGTGAGAATTAGGTCATTTGAGGGGCTTTGGTGAGGGAAAACTGTTAAAACCAACTCTGGACCACCAAGATGAAACCTGTCACAAGTAAAATAAAGAATGAAGAAATATGTAAGAGGGTGATGGGTTTAATAGGAGGAAGATTGGAACATGACGGTGAAGCTTGGGCAGACTGGGTCTAAGTAGGCTGCTGGGCAATCTGAGCTTGGTGTTACTCCCCTTGACCCAAGTTGACACATTAAACTAATTTAGGGACGTAATCTAATTATTAAAAAGCAATCCTCTCATAACAACCTTAAACCTTTCTTGGATATTGAGCTACTATAACAGCCAAGAAACCTGGCGAAACCTTGTATTGTTGAATTAAGCAGTAGTTCTCGAAATGTGGCATGCATCCCTCTGTTAATCAGAGCTGTTCTGATGTCCTGTCCTGTTTACAGTCCTAATTAAACATACATTTTATGTATTTCTACACTGCAAAAAATTGGAGAGGGAAGATCATGACACGATAGCTGACTATTATGCGCTATATTTCAGTGCTTTAAAATACGGTTGCACTGACAGTTTTTTTTATTTTAGACAATTGGCTTTGTACCAAATCAGAAAATAAGCAAAAAAAAAAAAAAGGACCAGCATTGGTGAATATTTGAGACAGCAGGTTATATATAAATATATATTTTTTTAAAGATTGGTGATCGAGCAAAAAACAGCAGTCGGTGCAGCACCACTTTAGAATTCAAGCCAAACCCAGAATGAGGTGCAATAAAATGGAAAAATACATTGAAATTTGACAAAAATTAAAACAGAACTTTTTTTTTTATTTCCCCAACCAATTTTGCAATTTTATTTGGATTTGAATTAACTACATAGATGTGGATGTTTCACTCCAGGGTCTTTAAAAGCTTGTTGTCCAGTCTATTGTCGCAGGACTTTACATGTACTTCTGGCAGCAGGCATTTGGTTCTATCTATACATCTTTCTTGCCTAAAGGGCCAAGTCAGTATCTTACTCCTTTTAAATGTAGCATAAACAAAATTAAATGCTTCTGTGATTTGAGAATAGTATTTTTTTTTTTTTACACACGATTATAATGCAAAAGCATTTAATTACCCAGCCCTAACTTAAATGAACATTCAGCAAACTCTCTGCTAATGATCAGAGAATGTCTACAGTTCCCTGTGAGTCAGTAGCTGGTTAGAAAAGTCTGGAAAATCCAGTGGGCTCTATACACAACTCCACTACTTGCTGAACTTAAGGCAGCCCTTCCTGTCTTTCATTACTAGATGAACTGATTAATCCAGGTGTGCCTGGCTGTGGTTGCCGAGGTCAGACACACCTTAATCAGTTCATCCAGTAGAAAAAGGCAGGAGACATAAGAGCTTCTTTAAGTTCAGGAAGTAGTAGAGTTGTGCATAACTGGAGATGAGTTGAAAGGAAGCATCTTAGGAATAAGTAGATAAGAAGATGATCGGCATCTGCTTCCAGACCAACATGAGGAGCATTTTGCTAGAAAATAGTCTCTCTGAAGGAGCTTATAAGCTTTAGAAACACTTTAGAAAAGCTTTAGAAACACTAAAAAGAGAGCTGAAAAGCCTGATTGGTGCATCTCGAGTATAGACCTAAATGTTTCTGTTAAGGTGGTATAGCAGTGCTGTATGATATGTCGTCTGGAAGGGACTTCTCCAATGTTCAGATTTATTTTGCATATTTTGGGGTAATGGAAAGGTCATACATACCAGTTTCCTTTGAATGCACAATATTTTAGACCAAAAAATTAACTTCTGCATCTGTTCCTGTCAGCAGTGAAAGAGTCAGTCAGCACAGACACTCAGACGAGGAAAGAGCAGGTCTCGTCTGAGCCGCGGCAGAAGCTCCGTATATTTTATCAGGTACACCACATACTAAGGAGAACACTGGGCTTTGGATTTAACCATCTGTTCAGACATTTTGGGGAAATAATGATTTGTTAATTTTGACATTGATAGAGGGAAGTTGTTTGATATTTAACCCTGACGGTAGCAGTGATTCATTTCTTTTTAATTCATTTTTACATCTGCTGGGGGATAAACCTGTTCTTGTAGTAATTCTGAATTGTGTTCTTCATTAGTTCCTCTACAACAATAACACACGGCAGCAGACTGAGGCCAGAGATGATCTCCACTGTCCCTGGTGTACTCTGAACTGCAGTAAACTCTACAGCCTGCTAAAACACCTCAAGCTCTCCCACTCGCGCTTCATTTTCAACTATGTGGTAAGGAACGGGTTTGAACTTCTGTTTTAAAGGGTTTTAATTCCCCATTGCTAGTAATATCAGGTACACTGAAGAAGAGAAACATTGGAGTATCCCATCCTCAGTACCAATGCATCCCTGAACTCCATACAGAGACGTCATGTAATGTCTTTTATTTTGCATGAACACAATAATCAGAACAATGTAAAGTCCAGCAGCTCCTCTTAAAATTAATGTTCCTCCTGGATTACAGAATGTTTCACCTGGATTACAGAAAGAACGAGTCCTACAAGTATAATAAAGTGGAATGGTTCTAGTTAGATTAAGCCATTTCTCTTGACTAAACGTAGGGATCTTCCTTAAAATGTTGCAGACAATACTGTTGGACTGAAACAATTAATCGTGATTAATTGATTATTGAAATAACCATCAACTAATGTAGTATTCGATAAATCGTTAACTGGAGTATAGAGACTAAAACATGTCTTTAGCTGACAGAGCAAACCACTTAGAGTAGTAATTATGCCAAGATTGTTAAAATAGATATTTTGTATTTAAGATAGAAAAAAAAAATTGTCCATCAATGTGGTCTATCCAGAACTAGAGTGGAAAAGTTTTAGTTTCCCCAGGTTTAATTTCCTAAAAAATATTTAGGGAACCTTTGGCTAACCGATTATTAATCGAAAAATGATCTACAGATTTATCGATTTGCAAAATAATCGTTCGTTGCAGACCTACAATACTGTCCCTAATAAAGATGTTTAGGCTTTTAAAGTCTAGTTTTTGATTTTATACAAAAGCCTTCCTTTATTAAATGAAATGTCATGATTCTCTTATCCTTTCCTGTTTCCACTATGTTCAGCCTCACCCTAAAGGAGCGAGGATAGACGTGTCCATCAATGAATGCTATGATGGCTCCTATGTTGGCAACCCTCAGGACATCCACAGCCAGCCCGGCTTTGCTTTTAGCCGAAATGGACCAGTCAAAAGAACCGCGGTTACTCACATACTGGTTTCCAGGTAAACTTTGCTCGTGTTCAACCGCTAGCTCTGTCTTTGCAGCTGTTCCTGTTTATTTATGAAGTTCTAAGACATGTCATCCTAGTAGGCGGTTATACAGCATGTTTGGTCAAAAATTATACAGTTTATTGAGATGATTGCTCAGTCAATAAAAATTTTAGTAGCTTCACACTCCGAGCCTTCTTATTTTGATAGGCCCAAAAGGACCAAACCAAGTTTGTCTGAGTTCTTGGAGTCTGAGGATGGAGAGCTGGAGCAGCAGAGGACATACGTCAGTGGACACAACAGGCTCTACTTCCACAGCGACAGCTGCATGCCCCTGCGGCCTCAAGAGATGGACGTGGACAGCGAGGACGAGAGGGACCCAGAGTGGCTCAGAGAGAAGACCGCCACGGTGAGAAGATGAGGCCATGCTCTGTCTTCTGAACTTTGACCTTAACTTGGGTCAATAATGTCTTCTCGATGGGTGTCAATTAAGCTTTAAGTTGTCATTTAATTAAGTGGCTTCTTGTGAATATTTTGCTCTCCTTAATTTGACTGAATGCACAGACCACAGCATCTTGCAAACTTTTCGTACATTTAGACATGTTACAAATTCAGTCTATTTTATAGGCCAAGGCAAGACTTCAAGGGGGTAAAAACGATTCATGGTTTTTATTTTTAAAAAGCTGAAAAGTCTATGTGACTTGCGACCCGTCCGTGGTGTTCCCCATCTTTCAGTCAAAGATTGGTTCATCTGAGTGATGAGGGGGAGAAGATCGATTAATGGGTTAAAAGTTTACATTTATTGACTGCTTTTTGGGTTAAATTTTAAAGCAGGGATGGCGTTTTTTTTCTTTTTTGCCAAGCACCTGATTTATTTTGTATTTTTGCATTTAGGACAAAAAGTTTAATTCAACTTCCCACCTAAACAAATCCTACACAACTTATTTTTTTTTTTTGTGTGTGTGCGTAGCAACTGGATGAGTTCACAGACGTCAACGAGGGAGAGAAGGAGGTGATGAAGCTCTGGAACCTGCATGTAATGAAGCACGGGTGAGTTGATCATTCAGCTCAGCGAGACGTGGTTTTATATATATATATCTATATATATATATAGATATATATATATAGATATATATATATCTATATCTCCAAAGGCAAGTCAACAAAACACAGTATACTTTAGAAAAGGTGGCTATGATCACATGCACATAGCACACAGCTTTATGCATTATAACACTACACAGATACATTTATATACAATTATTCTAACAATATTGTTTTTTAAGCCAAGACCAGTAAGACAGACGGGGACAGAAATCTTAACTTAAAATCTTAGGAGATTTTGTGAGAATTTATTTGGGAGCTTTAATTATGAGTTGTTTCACTAATTTATTATGATTTGTGAACATAGTCTCTCAGGCTTAGATGTCTTTGTCTTACACATGAAAATTGTATGATTATTTAAAAGAAAAAAGAAAAATGCAAAGAAAATGAAAAAGCAAATATAAGGAGGGGCAGAGAATCATCCAGTAAAATGAGCATTTAACTTTTTACTGATTTCCTGGCTGTTTGCTACATACATATAAAGCTCTGGCGAATTTCCCCCTACTTAATGTGTTGTCTGTCATTGTGAAAATGCTTTTTTTTTTTTTACTTGTCTAAGGGGAAGAAAAGTTTAAGAACATTAGATGGATTTTGTGCCCCCTTCACTGACTTTGGGCCCAATTAGGGTTTGCATTCCACAGTTTGAGAACCAGCTGCAAAATGAATGTATGGGAACTGAATTCAAATGTTCCAATGCTAGCTCTATAAACCGTTTGGAAGACTTACTTTTTCCTCTTTTTCTTTTTTTCCTATCTAGCTTGATAGCGGACAACCAGATGCCTCAAGCCGTCATGCTTTTCGTTGAGAAGTGCGGTGCTCACATCATCCGTCGCAACCTTTGCCGCAACTTCCTCTTGCACTTGGTCAGCATGCACGACTTCAACCTGGTGGTTACAAAAGACATCGACGACGCCATGATAGCCCTGCGAAAAATTCAAGACTCGCTGCCGGACACCAAGGAGGAGCAGCAGGATGACATGTTGGGATCAGTGGGAGTCTACAACAGCAGCACAGTCACATCCAGCGGAGGGAAGCAGGGCAAGAGGACAAAAAGTGCTCTGACAGACTGATGGCAGTGTGGATATGACCTGAGGGTTTATGGTTTTTATATTCTGGTAAATTAAGGAACTTTTCCAACCCTTTGGTGCTTACACATGATAACAAACTGGTAGTCAGAGGATGTGAGCTGACCAGGGCTGAGGCTGAACAGGTTTCTGAAACTTGTGAACTGAACCAAATATGTAAAATATGACAGTGAATCACCCAGGTCTGCTCAAACCCAGAGTTTCAGGCCCCAAGACGAGCCTTTTACCTTTCATTGTAGGGGCCACAAAGGTCCCTATTCATTGATGGGAGAAAGAACAGTGTCTTCTCTTGTGGCACAACTGTTTCCACCAAGTAGTGGAGGATTGTATGAAGGCTACAGGTAGAAGTGTACTGAGAACGTTGTCAACGTTTGTACAAAAAATGTAACAATGTTTATAACTGAGGGGATTATTTTAGCACTTGGTTTTATTTAGAAAGTTTAATCTGAACTTTAAAAAGTAATGTTTCACATCAAATTTTGAGAATAGTTAAATTGGCCGTGGATTGAGTGTAATTTAAATGGTCTAAACGGATAAACGTGGCCTATGGAAGAAAATCAATTTTCTATGTTAAAGCCTGGAATGAATCCTGCATAGCTTGTGTTTGGGATCCCGACGTTGTTAATGTCGGCAAGTTATTACGAAAAAAGTGTTTTTAGTATGAGCTTCGATCATTAACCTGGCAAATCTGATCAATGCAAATTTGGTTTTCATCCCTATTGTGTTTTTGTCAAAAAGAATGCATTGGAGTATTTTTTGTTCCCTAGAAACCAGCAGCACATTACTCTGTTGCATGTTCAGTGAGTAGTATCAATAATAGCATTCTTGGTTTTCTCACGTCAGCTTCTGCATCGTTTCCTATTTTAATTCACTATTGATTTAAAAGGCATCATCTGTAGCGGAGTTAAATAATGTATTCATGTAATCACACGAGCAGTTTTTAGGTGTTTCCTTTTCCTGGTGTAGTTACAAACAGGTTCTCTCTAATAGCAATAGGCTATTTATTTTAATGGTTGAAAGTTGTTAGATACAGTTTATACCAAAGGGGAGTACTTTCATCATTTTCTTCTTCATTTTAATTACATCAAACCTTTCTTCATCAAAAAAATCCTTTCTGTGCACATAAAACCAACGGTCATATTCTTTATCAGACAGCCAGACTATCCATGTAGTTCTTTCTCTTCTCATTGAAGCTGATATATTAATCATTGGTGTCTAAACACATCGTGAACTTTTGAGTATTTTATATGTAAGGAAATAAAATACATTTTCCCTTATCCCAGCTTGTGATGATTTCTATACATTTACATGGGAATTAGTCCCATTTCTACTTTGAAGTATGGCTTTGAAAGCAGTGGTCATTAAGCAGTTTGGCCCTGAATTCTTTATGATTTCAATTTTATCCTGAGTCCTTGAATTTGTGAAGAGAACTAATGAATTTACTTTAATAATTTTACTTTTTTTAGACCAAGTATCCGATCTTGGTGTGGGGTTTAGTATAGTGATGAGTGCCCCGTTTGTTACATGCGCGACCGGCTGGTGAATATTTTCAGTCATCCAGGTCAAAGTCTATGGAGGACCAACTCTGCCAGAAACTGCAGAAATGTAAAAAGGGCAGGCAGAAATAAATGGAGGCGAAGAAATATCTAGGGTAAAAAAGTACAAAGGAAGAATAAAACAGACAAAAATATAACATGCAAATAAATAAATACTTAAAAATATAAGTAATTAAAAAATAAAGTTGAAGATTATAGAGGACACAAACTACCTTACAAACTACCTGCGAGGTGAACTATCATGAGGAGAATACATGGACATCACACCATGGAGAAAGGTGCGAAAGTTGGTCGAAACGATGAGAAGTTGGTTGAGGCGAAGTGTTTAGCACTGACTGGGGACCACTGGACATCTGTCAATAATCATAACTACCTTGCATCACTTTACACTTTCTAGACCCAGATTTGGCCCCAAAGTTTGTCCCCAAAGTTGGTCTGCTAGGGTGACTGGTGGAAAACAAGAGAAATGGAGCTCGGACCGACAGACACAAAGCTGTAAACGGTTCATCATGATCTATTATGTAGGCCTATAGTTCAAAATTCATGTTTATCTGAATAAACAACTATTAAACACAAATACATCTTATTAAATTTTTTTTATTTTCATCACCAGTTATCATAGTAGAGAGCTTTTTCTAGCAGTTTGTGATGCATTTTGGAAACACACTGCAAAAACGATCTCAAAATGAGTACAAATGTCTTAAATTAAGTGTATTTACCCTTAATTTGAGCAGGTTAATAAGATGATCTGCCAATGGAATGAGTATTTTTACTCCTAAAATAAGGTATCTAGATATTATGCACTTAAAATAAGACACTGCAACTGTTTTTTTTCTTGTTTAAAGTGTAAATTGTCTTGTTTTATTGGCAAAGTGTCTCACTTCAATCCTTGATTCAAGAAAAAATGCCCTTATTTTAAGAAAAAATGACTTTAGATTTTATTTTTTTGCAGTGCAGGAGATGAGCCCCTGGCTTGAGACACATGTTCAGACTTACTTTTACTTATTATTTAGGTAGCACATACACATATCATCCTTATCTTATTTTATTCTTACCCTTATATACAATTTTATTTTTGTCTCTAGAGTCATTCTGATTCATGAAGCCATTTGGCAAAATATAAATGATCCATTTTAATCTAGATTAATCTAAATTAATTCCAATATTACATTGAGATTAATTCAGACTTCTGCTTACCTTTTGACTGTGGGAGTTTGGAGTTGCTCTTTTTGAAGATGAGAACCTTCTCATCAAATGATGGGATAAAGATAGCTTTCTTCTTGATCACAGAGGAGGTGACAGGGAAACTGTAGGATGCTCATTTGTTTCTCTGCTGGATAGAAATGTACCTGGCATCAAAGGTTTGGGACGATGAAAAACACTCATTCTGTTGAATGTGAGCCATCCAAGTCCCTAGACAGGGTTCGGCGACATCAAATAAAGTTTAATGCGACAATAAATCTAGCCCATTGTTTGAAAGGGTGCCATGTTTGTCAGTGGTAGAGCAGGTGCAGCATATGCAGAGGCTTTAGTCTGCAGTGTAGCTCTCACTGGTTCGATTCCTGGCCAAAAGCCTTCTGCTTCTTCCTCTTCTCCCTGAGGAGCCATCGTTGGACCAGCAGTACCAGAAAACCTTAAAACGTTGTTTTCCTTTGAGAACATTAGGAAGACAGCAGGCAGGTCTGAATGATATTGTTCAAAAATGAAAGCAGGATAAGGTAAAATAAATAAATAAATAAATAAATAAAGGAACACGTAACCAACACAACATAACTTCTATTAAATCTAACTTAAAATTATTTATACCCCAAAATAATCCAAACAACTATATTTAAAATTATTACTGGATGAGTATTTGATTGTTATTTATATCAAAGAATAGGGCTTTTTCACAGTATCTGGTTTAAGGTGGTTTCTTCGTTAGCTAATTTAGATGTTTTAAACAATGAATAATAACTTTTAAATAAATACATTCAGACAATTTAAATGAAACAGATAAGAAGGATCAAATAATTTTAAGCAAAAATGTAATACTCAGGCTGGTGTCTGCTTGTAGTGTATGATTTCTCATGTATGGTTCTGTAATGCCTAAACATTGATGAGTATACAGGTGCTGGTCATAAAATTAGAATATCATGAAAAAGTAGATTGATTTCAGTAATTCCATTTAAAAAGTGAAACTTGTGTATATTATATTCATACATTACATACAAACTCATATATTTCAGATGTTTATTTTGTTTAATTTTGATGATTACAAATGACAACAAATGAAAATCTCAAATTCATCATATCAGAAAATTAGAATATTACTGAAGACCAATAAAAACAAAGGATTTATAGAAATGTTGGCCAACTGAAAAGTATGAACATGAAAAGTATGAGCATGTACAGCACTCAGTATTTAGTTGGGCCTCCTTTGGCCTGTATTAAATGGTAAATGGTAAATGGCATGTACTTATATAGCGCCTTTATTCAAGTTAGGAGACTTGACCAAAGCGCTTTACACTACATTCATTCACCCATTCACACACACACTCACACACTGTATTACTGCAGCAATGCGGCGTGGCATGGAGTCGATCAGTCTGTGGCACTGCTCAGGTGTTATGATAGCCCAGGTTGCTCTAATAGTGGCTTTTAGCTCTTCTGAATTGTTGGGTCTGGTGTATTGCATCTTCTTCTTCACAATACCCCATAGATTTTCTATGGGGTTAAGGTCAGGAGAGTTTGCTGGCCAATTAAGAACAGGGATACCATGGTCCTTCAACCAGGTACTGGTAGCTTTGGCACTGTGTGCAGGTGCCAAGTCCTGTTGGAAAATGAAATCTGCATCTCCAAAAAGTTGGTCAGCTGCAGGAAGCATGAAGTGCTCTAAAACTTCCTGGTATGTGGCTGCGTTGACCCTGGACCTCAGAAAACACAATGGACCAACACCAGCAGATGACATGGCACCCCAAACCATCACTGACTGTGGAAACTTTACACTGGACTTCAAGCAACGTGGATGAAGTGCCTCTCTTCTTTTCCTCCAGACTCTGGGACCTTGATTTCCAAAGGAAATGCAAAATTTACTTTCATCAGAGAACATGACTTTGGACCACTCACCAGCAGTCCAGTCCTGTTTCTCTTTAGCCCAGGCAAGACGCTTCTGACGCTGTCTGTGGTTCAAGAGTGGCTTGACACAAGGAATGCGACAGCAGAAACCCATGTCTTTCATACGTCTGTGTGTGGTGGTTCTTGAAGCACTCACTCCAGCTGCAGTCCACTCTTTGTGAATCTCCCCCACATTTTTGAAGGGGTTTTGTTTCACAATCCTCTCCAGGGTGCGGTTATCTCTCTTGCTTGTACACTTTTTTCGACCACATCTTTTCCTTCCCTTCGCCTCTCTATTAATGTGCTTGGACACTGAGCTCTGTGAACAGCCAGCCTCTTTAGCGATGACCTTTTGTGTCTTGCCCTCCTTGTGCAAGGTGTCGATGGTCGTCTTTTGGACAACTGTCAAGTCAGCAGTCTTCCCCATGATTGTGTAGCCTATAGAACTAGACTGAAAGACCATTTAAAGGCTTTTGCAGGTGGTTTGAGTTAATTAGCTGATTAGAGTGTGGCACCAGGGGCCATCAATTTTGAACCTTTTCACAATATTCTAATTTTCTGATATGATGAATTTGAGATTTTCATTTGTTGTCATTTGTAATCATCAAAATTAAACAAAATAAACATCTGAAATATATGAGTTTGTATGTAATGTATGAATATAATATACAAGTTTCACTTTTTAAATGGAATTACTGAAATCAATCTACTTTTTCATGATATTCTAATTTTATGACCAGCACCTGTATGTCACAAGCGAATTTCTCCATTGTGAGATCAATAAACTTCTATCTGATCTAATCTAATGATGAAATTGCCGTCAGTTAATGCGCAAACACACTTTATTAAAACTTGGTTTGAGTCATTTCAAAGTACCTCCAGCTGGGAGAGGTCTTCCTTTTTTTTTACTGGGTCCATTCTTATCACATACTTCTGTTATGAGACTCTCTACTGACCAAACTACCTACAACAACCCACAAAACAGCACGTTTCATTGCACTTTTATTTTGAAATCTGACATAAGAAATGAAGCATTGACGTGTGAATAGTAATGTGACGCATGGTTTGTTATAGGTCAGGTGGTTATCTGCAAGATGACACAAGCACTGAAGCGGGGCTTCGTTAGACACACCCCCTTTCGAAGCCTGGCTTCAGATGTCACATAACTACCAAAGGCTACTTCTCCAGATCTATGCTTTCTGGCTGATATTTTGGTCACTTTTGAACTTCGGTGGTGCTTTCATACTCACGGCAGCACGAGATGGACTCGGCAGCCCATACAAGTGATGGCATTGATTTGCCATCCAGGATGGCAAATCAATGCTGTGGCAAGGGCATGCTGTGTCTGTCAGCTTAGTGTAGAGAGGCCAAAGGCGCTACCAGGTGACCAGTACACCAGGAGATGTGGAGTAGGCCGTAGAATGGCAACAACCCAGCAGCAGGACCTGTACCTGTGCCTTTGTGCAAGGAGTACAGTAAAAGCACTGCCAGACCCCTTCAAAATGATCTCGGGCAGGCCACAAATGTGCATGTGTCTGCACAAACTGTTAGTAATCGACTCCATGAGGATGGTATGAGGGCCCGACGTCCACAGATGGAGGTTGTGCTCACAGCCCAACACTGAG